ACTTTTTGAAAAGGGAGGAGACAATTTAAAAGATGTCAATGAGAAGAGTTTCATACTATATATATTATAATACAGTATATTTGAAGTATACTTAGACAGTTACATTATGGTGACATTAGAGGTCATATATAAGGAGAACTTCAATATAAGGATAAATGTTAAGAATGAAATTTTTCCTTTGAGTTTTGTCATTTAACACCTTTTTAAAAAAGGTTATTTAATGTCCAAGATACATCAGGAAATGAAAATGTGGACAGTATATTTCTAGGGTTTTCCCCCAAAGGCGTTTCTTTTTGTTTTGTTCGTTTGTTTTTATTTTTTTTTTTTATTTTTGAGACAGTGTCTCACTATATTGCCCTCGATAAGTGCTGTGGCGTCACAGCTCACAGCAACCTCCAATTCATGGGCTTAAGCAATTCTCTTGCCTCAGCCTCCCAAGTAGCTGGGACTACAGGTGCACACCACAACACCTGGATGATTTTTAGAGATAGAGTCTTGCTCTTGTACAGGCTATTCTCAAACCTGTGAGCTCAGGCAATCCACCTGCCTTGGCCTCCCAAGTGCTAGGATTACAGGCGTGAGCCACTGTGCCTGGCCTCAAAAAGGTATTTCATGTATATATAATATGTTGATTTTATTTTACTCTCTTTATTTATTTATATTTTCTGAACATTCCAAAGTAAATATATATAACTTTCATAAAGGGAAAAGGATTTTAAAATAGATCGTTTTATAAAGACATTTCAAGCTCAGCATTAAAATGAATAATATTTAGAATAAATTGTAAAACTACCTGGTTTTGGCTGTTAAAAATAATGGAGTATGCTTGTATCAAAATATTACATGTACCCCATACATAATAAAACTATTACGTACCCATAATAATTAAAAATAAAAAATTTAAATAATGGAGACTGATTAAAAAACATTGTTAAATTGATTTTCTTTTAGGTTTTTCTGTATGACTAGAGAAGACAGTTGGTGTAAGTGGAAGTGATACAACATTTTTTTAGAATGTCTGAAGATGAAGAAAAAGTGAAATTACGCCGTCTTGAACCAGCTATCCAGAAATTCATTAAGATAGTAATCCCAACAGATCTGGAGAGGTTAAGAAAGCACCAGATAAATATTGAAAAGGTGAGCTTTTTCATTTTCTACCACAAGAAACAGTTGGGTGGCACCTGTGGCTCAAAGGAATAGGGC